CACCCTTTGTGAGAACCCGAAAATTCCTTTAGAATTTCCTCTCATTTTTGAAAAATTAATTTATATTTCCTTCTATATTTCTTTACTTTGAATATTTAACTATTTACTAGCCCTAAATTTCATGGTGATTTCATTAGTTGAGTCAAGAGTTCTACTTTTACTTTTAAATTTAAAGTTAGGGTTTTGGTGCATTTTGGTAGTGTGATCGATTGGTGAGGTGTGTGCACTAAATTTGGTGGATAAGAGTGAGTATTAGGTAAGAGGAAGTGTGTGATTAGAAGTGCTAATAATAAGTTAGTGAATCATAAGTTAAAACAAAAGTACAAGGGAGATAAGAGAAATAGGTTTGAACCGACGTGTGCTGTTTGTTACCAGTTGAGTACATTGCTTGACCAATACTTTCTTACCCTAATCTCCTTGTTTTTATTTCATTTAATTTCCCCTAAATTAACCCTTAAGTCAGCCACCATTATTGACTAAGGAAAAGGAAAAGAAAGACAAAATAGTTGGGAGACACTTGTCAACCATTAAACCAAATGTTGACCAAGATTAGTCTTTGTATTTATCTTGGAAAAATTGAAGAAAAACCATCACTTTCTTGCTCCATGAAGGCCGAACCTTAGAGAGGAAAGGAAGAGAGAAAAACTTAAAAATTCCATCTTGATTTCCTTGCTTGATTTGTGAAAACTCCAAACACTAACCCTAATCCATACCGATTAATCTTGAGTTAAGCTTGGAGGGAAGCTTTTGGTGGAGTTACTTGGGGAAGAAAACTCTTGAGCTGCTTGTTATCTTGGGGTTTTGAGGTAAAATTTCTAGAAAACATCTCTTTTTGCTTGTTTCTTGAGATTTATGCAAGATATGTTATAATTGAAGTTGAAGGAAGCATGTTTATGGTAATTTCATGGTTTTGCTAGGGTTTGGTGATGTTGTTGCTAGGGTTTGATTAATTTCCAGCTTAGTTATATGTTGGTTATAGCTAGTTTTGTGGTTAAAATAAGTACTCTATGTATCCTATATCTTGTGAACTTGATTGGGGCTGTCTTGTGGTGAAAGTGTAGCCTTGAAATGGCTGGAAAAATTGGTAAATACAAAGGAAGTGCTGCTGAAATTTTTCCCACGGGAGACTCTAAGCAGTCTTGGGAAATCTGTCATATCATGGTGTAAAAAATTCCAAATTCAGTTCTACTTGTTGCGTTTGAAACTAGATTCAGATTACTTTGTACCATGAAAATTTTAGAATTTTCCTCAATATCTATGAATATCTGTGATTTTCCAAACTTGACTGAATTTCCATTCCTGTTCTGTCTTTCTACTGGATAAAGCAGCCACTTGAGATTTGATTTTGACTGACTTGTGGACAGAATCTTGCAAAGGTGTCTTCTGAGAAATTGTAACTCTTTGAATCTATTTTCCAACGGTATAAATTTTATAAATTTTGGACTTAAGAAGCTTGAGATATGATTTTTCAAATAGCATCGCACAAAACTAGAAAAATTCTATTTTCCTAAAACTGTCCTTACTTTCATTTCCAACTTTAAGTTGGAGTTGTTAAACCATTTTGAGCTTGGTTTATGATTGGAATGGGAAAATTCTTGGTTACTCATGTCCCTTGAGTCTAAATGTTTTCTTTTCACTCCAAAACTATATTTGCACCTTTGTACTAGTAGTTACTCGGATTTTCTTTGGTTCATCTAAACTTTAGATGGTTGAACCATAATATTTTCTCTTGGTTATTCTTAGGGTTTGTCGATGATCAAGGGCATAATCCAGAAGGAAACTTTTGACGTTATTTTGCTTAAATTGGTGAGTGTTCTTTGCATGTTGTGCTTCCAATGACCATGTGGGTTGTTGTGAATGTTTGCTTGAATGTTAAATGTTTTTCAATGATTGTTAAATGAATTTTCGATAGGCGAGTGTGTACTTTATCGCACTCGACCTAAGTGAACGTGAAATTTTCAATGATTAATGATTGAATGCTACTTGTGCATGAATGTAAGCTTTTTGGCTGAACTGGACCCTTGGCCTTCGTTGCCAGTAGACTCGAGCCAGGATCAAACTCGGTCGGGCAGCTGGTGACCCTGGGACAATGTTTGGTATACTCGAGTATTACCACGAAATCTGGTAGAGAACTGGCCAGTGAATTCAATGCAATGATATCAATGAATGACAAGATTACTGAAGGAGTTTTCACTTGCAAATATTTTCTAATGTTGGAGGGATAAGGAAAATGGTTGGTGAATGAATGAATGAATAACTTGAATAAATGGCTCCAAGTGAGCATATATCCTTCCAATGATTGAGTGTTTATTTCTTAAATGACTGGATATTACTGTGCAAAGTATACAAATTGTTAAATGTAATGTTTCCATGGTTTCCCTACCTGATTGTTTGTTTAGGAACCTCACTGGGATTTTAGCTCATTCCTTTAGTTTTTGTTTTCCTTACAGGAATAGAGGTCCGAAGCAATTGAATGTGAACTAGAGTGTGTAACCCTCTTGTACTTATACTTTTTGGTTGATAGGATATATTTTGACATTTGATGTTGTATCATACCTTTGACTTTTGGGTTTGTAAATAAGTTTACATTTTGGTTGAATTGTAGAACTTAAATGTTATTTTGAAGGCCTGAATGATTAATCTTGAGAGTTGAGTGAGTGAGTGAGTCCTGGTGAGAATTGGGCAGGCAATCCGTCAAATCCTTGGGTACACCCTAGGGGGAGGCGGGGTCATCACACCCTTTCTCTTTCTTGTTTATTGATTGCTAGAGAAGAAGAAATGATTAGTGAGGGATTATTCAAATTTAGATATCTACAAGTGTAGGTTGGGGTGAATTTCATTTGATTCTTCCAATACGTGACAAAAGGGTTTACTTGTAATAAAAGTTTTCTAAAATATTCATACCTTATCCCATTCTCCTAATTTCTTTTTTCTTTTTTGAAAAATTTCACCGCAACGTCTTCTTACTCAACTTGGGCCTTAATTTGGGTTTCAGACCATTGTCTTTCCTTTTATTTTTTTTTAAAAAAAATGTTTGGCCCTAAGGCCTTTTCTTTTTTTCCCCTTTTGTTTGGGCCATAATGTAAGTCTAATGTATTTAAACAATTCAAAGTTAGACTAATTAAAAACTAACAAAAATGTGGGTTATAATGCTCCAACTTTAATAAAAGTTTTATCCATCAAATTTACATACTTTGATCAAACAGTTGAGATTTTTTCTTCTCCATATTAGTCTTTAACTCCTACATAGTTTCTCTGGGTCAACACTAGACCATTGAGTCTTCACCATGAGTATGGTGTTATTCCTCAATACCTTTTCTTCGCGTCCTAAAATCTTCCAAGGGTTTCACAGGGTAACTCATATCTTCCCTCAATTCGACAGGACTATTTCATATTTTTTGGACTCTCATATGATATATACTTTTGTATTTGAAACACATGGAATACGTTGTGTATTCTTGGCAAACTTGGAGGTAATGCTAATCTTTGTGCTAAGTTACCAATTCTTTGTAATATACTTCATAAAGTTCACTGTTATGTAGACTCAATTTCTTTTGTGAAATTGCACCACTCTTTTTGTGGGTGAAGCTCATAAGAAAACCTTATCACCTACTTGAAATTATAAAAGTCTCATTTTTTGGATCATCCCAAGTCTTATTCTGGTCTTAAAAGCTTTCAACCATTCTCTATCTTCTCAATTGTCTATTGACCTATCTTCGTTTCGGTCAAAATATTTCTACTGTATAATTTTAATGCACCAGGCACCTACCCTTTTTGGAAATTCCATATGGGGTCATACTAGTACTACTATGATAACTATTGTTATTGAAAAATTCAAACAATTTTACAATTCCATCCCAATTACACTTAGAATCCAGTACATATGCTCTAAACATATCTTTTAATATTTGAATAATCCTTTCCTATTGTCTATCCATTTGCAGGTAAAAAATTGTATTTAATATTCCCTATTTCCCTTTAATATGTTGTCCAAAATCTAGATATAAATTTAAGGTCTCGATCAAGTACATTCCTAATAAGTACTCTATGTAGGTTCACTATGTTATCTATATACATCTCCACCAACTTCTCTATTGAACCTGTAATCCTGATGAGTAAGAAACGAGTTACAATATTCAATCAATCCACTATTACCCGAATAGTGTAATTACCCTTCCTTGTTTTGGACAGTCTTACAACAAAATCTGTAGTAATATGATCCCACTTCCATTGATGTTCGGTTTTCACTTGTTGATACACTAAACTCATACCTAATTGCAAACTAAGTTGTCTCTCTCTTCATCCTTTTCCACTAGAACAGTTGCTTCAAATCACGGCCCCTCTTAGTATTTCTTGCATGAATTGAATACTTGATATTGTGTGCATCTCTTAAAACATCTTTCTTCAACTTCTCATCATCGAACACACAAAACCTACTTCTCATGCGTATACTTCTATCGCCACTTATTTGAAAGTCTTCATTAGGCCTATCGCTTACCCTTATTGTAACCTTTTTCAAGTCAGGGTCTAACTTTTGAAATTCAACAATACAATCCTCTAATCTCGGCTGTAATGTTGTAGACACCAAATTTTTGGTGTAATTTCATTTACTGTTTATTTTTTTTAGTTTTTATTTGTCGTGTTAGTTTTATTCGATTTTTAGTTTTTAGTTTTTAGTTTTATTTTTATTTTTAAGTTTTTAGCGTAGAATTTCTCGGAAAAAAGAAGAAAAAGAAAAAAAGCTTTCAAAAAAATATGCTTTAGTTGTTTTGATTTAAATTCAATGTTTTCTTGAAAAATAATAAAAAAAAAAGAAAATTGTTCACTAAAATGTGTTTATTTCTTTTAAATTCAATTTTGCAGCGTTTCTTTTAAAAATATTTCATTACGTGTTAAAAAATGAAAAAAAAGAGACAGGCTTATGGACCTTGAGAAGCGTAGGATTATAACCTTTCCTCATTGTTTCTTTTCGGCAAAACGCAGATACAAAAATTGTTTCTTAGCTCATTTGCCGGTTTTTCCCTTCATTTATTTTACTCCGTTTGATCGCTCCACTTGGCCCTCATCTGTCAAAGCTGGAAGTTGAAGATGATCGGATGATCGAGGAAATGCGGTGAGATGAGATTTGCTGAGGGCCTTTGATATCAGGTTTTTGGAGGGTTTAGCCATTCGGGAGGAGGATAAAAAGGAAAAAGAAAGAGACCAGAGGGGGGGCTTCGGATGAAAAGAGGAAGAGGAAATAGAGAGGGATAGCCGGGAGCAAAACAAAAAGAGAAAGTCAGAGAGAGACGGACGAAGAGGAAGGAAGTAAATCTGGGAAATGGAAGAGAGTTTCTGTGAGAGCAAAACAAAGGCTGCAGAAAACAGGGCAGCCGAAGCTGCTGCACTCGCGAGGAGCCACCACCCCCCACTTCGTCGGAGGCCGCCGCCATCGGCACATCTTTGCCGAGGAAATATGTGTGGTAAGAGATCCTTTTTCTTTGAAATTCATTTTTCTGTGCAAGTTCATATTTGGAAATTTAAAACAGAGGATGATTTCTCGAATTTTCTTTGTGGATTGTCCACAATTTTGACCGAGCATGCTTTATGGATTGGTTGGGATATTTTGTTTTGTTTCCTGACAAAAATTTTGGGCTAGCTATGGCATCAATTGAACAAAAATCATTGAATTTTTCAATACCCGTCTGGTGTTTGATGAAATGCTCGATTGAAACCCGTAGTTTATCCCTTTTCGTGTCTCCCATTCATGTGACGTATATAATTTCTGTTATTTAAGAGTAATTTGATTGGGTTTGCTGATAATTTTTGGGACAGATTATAACATCAACTAGGCAAAAGGACAGTGAAATCTTAATGTCTTTCTTGTCCAACGAAATGTCAGACTAGAAATTCATCTTAAAAATGATTCATCTGCGGTTTTATGTGAGGAAAATGAACAAGTCATCGAGTTCAATTCCTTTCCTCCCATTTGAGAATCTTTGGTGCATGGCTGCCTTACATTTTGCCGTTCCTGTCGCATCCATCATATGCATTCGAATTAAGGTTGGGAGGGGAAGTTCTTGTGGGTTTCATTGTCTGATTGAGAGTGCTTGAATTCGAAACTAAATTTCTGATGTTGCTGACCGGAAGAAAGCTGAAATGGTACTTGATGTTAGTTTATTTGGTACATTTTTCATCGAGATGCTTTCCATCATGTCAAGTCATCTGTTTGTGTTGTGCCGTATGTTCATTACCTGATGTTTGTATGCGGGAGACAAAATTCGATGTTTGATGTTGAGTTGAGGAACTCTGTCCAAATCTGTGTTATGTGTTCAAATGTTCGCCGGGTAGGTGAACTTCTGTAGCTTCAGAAAACTTCGACCAAGCTGCCTGAATTTTTGTTTAGAAACTTGTGTTTTTCAGCCCCACTTTATCTTAGACTTCATTGGCTTGTATGTTCACATTTATGTTGGATGACGGTCTTATGAAATTTGGCGATTGTTTGAGTTCAAAGCTTGGTTTAGAACCATCACAAGCTTCCTGGTTGTTGAATAAGAAATAGAGAAAGTTGCAGCAGATTTCTTTTTTTTCAAATGTTTGCATGTTGTTCCAGAATTTTGCATGAGATTTTTCTAAATGTTCTTCCTGTTTGGATGATGGTGATTGTGTAGTTAGTCGCTTAGTTCAAAGCTTTCATATTTGGGTTTGAGACTTTAACTAAAAAGCAAGTTGTGTGTGCTGTTTCTCTTGTTGAAGTTTCGGTTGCTAATGGTTTGATAAGAGATGTTGCAGAAAATTTGTAAAACTTGGCATGAGGCTGCTTGAGCTGTTTAAATTTTGCATGTCTGTTGTCCGATTTTGGGTGTTTAAGTCTACAAGCTTTATGATGCAAAGTGAGAGAATTGTGTGATAGTTGTGTTTGGATTTGGCTATGTTTGAAGGCTGTCTTTGTAAAATGCTGGGTGGCCGAAAGCTTTCAGCAGAAATTTCTGCTGCAGAATGTTGTTTCTCATGTTGTTTTTCACGTCATTTGCATGAAGATTGCATGAAAACAATCTTCCAAAATTGCAATTTAACCCCTCAGCTTCCCCTTATTCTGCTATGGCCCAAAACTTGGAATAAGTGAACTAATTTTGTCATTTTAAGTTTAATCCTCTGTTTGCATATTTTATGTGACTTTGGGGATAGATTAATTTTTGATTGTGGGTCATAATTGCGGCTTAATAATTTTGTTGATTTGTTTATTTTGTTTGGTTTAATGAAATAAGTGTTTGGGCTAAGAGGTTATTTTGTGTTTGGGTTTAAAAAAGTTGTTTTGGTTTATTTTGTTTGTTTTTTCTGGTTTGGGCTAGAGAGCCAAAGCCCATCTATTTGGTTGGCTAATTTTGGGCCAAAATAATATGCTAGACCATTTCAGTACTTTGGACTTCCGATCGGGCCAATTTGTTTTGGCCCAAGAAATTAATAAAATGGCCCCATGGCCTAGTCCATTAAGAAACCAGAGAACGCATTTGCAGATCAGTCCCTGTACTTTTCTTTAATTTCATTGTGGCCCTGGATATTTTCAACTACTTTCAATTCGGTCCTTACTTTAATTGCAAATAAGTCCTTGAACTTTGTTTTCTTTAATTTTGGCCCCAAAATTTTGTCAATCTTTGCAATCAAGTCCTTTCTTCTCTTGACTTCTTAAATGTGGTTTGTTGACATGATTTAATTGATTCAAATTCATGTTTATTTTTATCCTTTGTGATTATTTGTCAAATAAATTGGTGCCTTGACCTTTTTTATTGTTTTGAAGCTAATATCTCATTTACTCGATTTCCATTGCAAGGGAGGTAACTTCTATATTCTTGCGTTATTTTTCCTACGTGCTCCAACGTGCTAAGTGAAATACATGTCTACTTTGCTTTCCTAACCTTTCTTTAATTTCTTTCATTTATGTCATTTACTTTTGCTTTTTATTTAAGTTATTCTTTATGGGGTATGTGTACACCTCTTGGCTTGTAATAGTTAGGGATTTAATCATTTTATTCCTTTTCCCCCTTTTACCCTAATGTAATAGATAGGGCTTGGAGGAGCATTCAATGAAGACCTACCGAAGTCATGTGCCTAGCTAGCAAATGTAATAGTTAGGGCTTTAATTGTCTTATGTGTCTTGCATGCTTAGTTGCTACGTGTTAATTTGCTTTGTTAGGGTCTTGCATCTAGTCGAACATGCTAAATGTTATGTGCTATGTGTTTATGAGTGTTTGGCATGTCTACTCGCTTTCCATAGCCATGAATGAATGTGATGGATGAATGTACGTTTCCACTAGTCCAACGCTAGTAGGAATTCATAGAATGGGCTAGTCCAACGCTAGACCCTTAGGGATTTCCCCTCGTTAGTACAAGTTTGCATGTTCATTACATGTCATGCATTCCTTTTAGTTTTATCATTTTGCATGCCCCCCGAACCCCTTTTCCCTCCATTTTAGGATTTTTGCATTTCATGCTAGTTATAGGGTTCATTTGCTTGAGAGTCCCCTTAAATATGGGATATAGACGAGTGTGGCTTTTTGTAAGCCTTAGCACGCTTGTATTCCCTCTATAAAAGGGCAAATTGAGTCACGATCTAGGTCTCCCCGTACCCAATATGCATGAATTCCCTAGGCTCATGCATTTCTAAGTCCACTCTATCATTACACTTTCACTTTTCCTCCCATTTGCACACGTACACCTTTTATCCCTTCACTTGCACACTTTCACTTTTGTCTCATTTGCACACATGCACCTTTTTATCCCTTCACTTGCACACGAACACTTTTCCTCCCATTTGCACACGTACACCTTTTTATCCCTTCACTTGCACACAAACACTTGTAAATACATTTGCACACCTCCACTTACATCCTATTATTTTTATTATTTTTCTCACTTCACATATCCTCACATTGCATACATGCATTCCATTCATTTGCATCCCACTCGCATTATTCGTGACTTCTTCAAAGGGTCGTTATTGGGCTTCACAATTAATGTGATTGGCACCACTCAACCTTTGAAGAGAAATTTCCCCCAATACCCCTAGGTCTAGGGTTTGCATTCATGTAGTGCATCCAAATGTAATAAATTCTTTGGTTAAAACAAGAAAATCTTTGATTAAATCAACGCAACTAGTCTTGGCTAGGTCAAAGGGGTGCCTTGGATTTTATCCTTGCCTTCCCCTTTGTCAAATGTGACTCCCGAACCTTTTTCTTTGGTTTACGTAGACTAGGAGTCGTTTAAAAAGGGTTTCTCACTACTTTTTCCTATTTTTCTTAAAAAATACATTTTTTTTAGGTGACTTGGTACACCTTAACTCATTATCAAGTGGCGACTCCGTATTTAGTTTTAAAAACCCTTTTTAAACTATAATTTTGGGTCAAATCGTCGCATTCTCAAAACCCCATTTAGACCCATCTTTCTTTTAAATCATGATTCATTTTCCAATCACAAAATACATTTTTTTAAACCATTTTATTTATTTATCAAAAAATGGGGCGCGACAAATGTCAATGCTGATAACTTACTTGTAGTCAACTCCACAAGTTCCAAATTAAGATCATCCATTTTCTTCCTTAAATTACACTTGGATGTACTCATACTTTTCCTATTCAAGGCACTAGCTATTTTATTAGCCTTGTCGGGGTGACAACTGATGGTTAAGTCATAATCTTTGATCAACTCTAACTATCTCCTTTGGTGCATATCCAACTTCTTTTGAGTGATCAAATGTTTTAAACTCGTATAAACTATAGATATTTCGCAGTGTTCACTATACAAGTAATGCTTCCATATATTCAATGCAAATATTTGGTGAATGGTTCTAAATTGCTTAGAAGGCTTCAACTATTGCAAGTTGTAAGTTTTAATTCTATCATTTTCATCAATATGTATTCCAAAACATTCTTATATGCATTATTATATATCACAATTCATTCAATCCAAAACACAAAGCCAAAATTGGGGAGGTAACTAGTTTTGCTTTAATTCCTAAAAACTTCTCTCACACCCATACGTCAAAAAAAAAAAAACCTAGCTTGTTTTGGTGTCAACCTACTTAAATGAATAGCTAATGGGCAAAATCCCTCAACAAACTTGCGACAATATCCACCCAAATCTAGAAAACTCATTACTTTAGTCACACTAGTTAGTCTTGACCCATTCACTATTGCTTCTATCTTCTTGGAATTAATAGAAACTTCCTCTTTTGAGATAATGTGTTCTAAGAAGGCTAAGCTCTTAAACAAAAATTCATACTTACTAAATTTGGCATGTAACTTTTCTTTTTTAAGACTCCCTAAACTTCTCTTCATGAGATGTTCCTTATAGGTTATCGTCTATAAAAATAACCATAGATCCATCCGAGGCTAAATACCCTATTCAAAAGATCCATGAAATAGAAAGTGCATTACTAAGACCAATGGTACCACCAAAAACTTACAATATCCATATCTTGTGTGAA